ATTCTATCATTTGTTCTCACAACAGAAACCATACAGTGTTAGCCCTGGAGAAAACCTTGAGAGTCCAGCCCACTGCGTTTTGCATTCCTGGGAATAGATCCTATGTCTCAAATATAGATGCTTTGGAAGAACAGCACGTTGATTTTTATTCAGTCATTTTAACTTTACGTGAATGAGCATGTCAGCTCCTTTATGGAGAGCAGATTTCTCTGGGGGAAGATGAAGAAGGTAGGAGGAGGATGGAGGGAAAGAGTAAAGCAAAGCGGGTATAAAGGCACCGAGGACAACACGTCCCTGCTGTCCCCCAGGTCCTTCCTCTAGCTGTCCTGCTGCCACTTCAATGACTTCACCCAGTCCAGACTCAAACAATTATGAGCTCAGTGTTCATTTCCGCAGGGGTAACATGGGGGAATGCTGATGGATGAGCACCACCCATCCATCAGCATTCCCCCATGTTTCCCCTGCGGAAATGAACACAGAGTTTCTGGTTGGTGTGATCATTGATTTCTCAGACAGAATGGCACACATCCTGGGCTTGAGGACAGTAACCAGACCACTGTTCCCGCTGTTCCCTAGAGCAGGCATCATTCACACTTGTTCAGAGGGACCAGTGACTGGCGTCACTCCGTCACTGCAGCAGGCGGGACCCAATAGGGCTTCCGGGCGGCATGGTCAGAGGTGCTGTGGAAGCAGATGAATTGTGGCTGCACATGCAGCATGTGAGCTGTGTCCTGCACAAGGGTGCCTGCCCTTGCATCCTTGAAATCCGGGCCATGCTTTATTTGCTGAGTCATGTGCCCTGTTCTTTCTATTTGCACGGAGTCCTTGTCAACTTGCCAAGCCCGAGTCTGCTGAGCTTCATCCACCAGAGAGGGTGCCTTTTACAAATCGGCAAAAAATCAACGTTGTGTGCCAGGTTGAGCCTGCCAGGGTTGGAGCCTTGGGGCCTTGGGAATGGCAGGCTTTATGGCCATCCCATCACTCCTCTCATACAGTGATTCTTTTTTAAAATAGATTTTTATTGATTTTAGAGAAGGAGAGAGAGATAGAAACATCGATGGTGGGAGAGAATCATTGATTGGCTGCTTCCTGCACGCCCCACACTGGGGATCGAGCCTGCCACCTGGGCATGTGCCCTAACCAGGAATCAACCGTGACCTCCTGGTTCACAGGTCGACACTCAACCACTGAGCCACGCCTGCCAGGCTCATACAATGATTCTTTCAGTGATTCAGAGAGTCCAGTCTAACAAAAGTGAGAACCCTCGTGGTTTTTCTTCTTTCTTTCTTTTTTCTTTCTTTCTTTCTTTCTTTCTTTCTTTCTTTCTTTCTTTCTTTCTTTCTTTCCCTTTCTTCCATCCTCCCTCCCTCCCTTCCTCTCTCCCTTCCTCCCTCCCTTCCTTCCCCTTGCTTCCTTGCCTTTTTAGTTCTTTGATTCTGGGAAACCATCAAATACAGCAAAAGGAAGAGAACACATTTTTTAAAATCTTTTTTCAGTTATAAAGTGAGCCTCAGAAGGACTTCTTACACTTTCTCCTCAAATCTCACTTCCCACCCTGCCCTCGCCATGAGCATCTGGTACTTCTCCCTCTGGTGGGAACCTGGGGTCCACCCAGGTGTGCTGGCATGGGTCCCAGGGGTCCTGGGTCTGAGTCCACGTCTATGGTACTCACTTTCTTCTTTGTCCAGGCACGGCCCAGACCTCTACACCCACCTCTTTTCCAAAGGCACAGCAAGACACGTTTCCCTCCTTTTCTCATTCTCCTTTGTCTTTAGACCGCGCTGCTTGTCTGCTGGCGGGTGACTCATTTCTTTGTCATTCTCTTACCCCTTCAGCCTGTCCAGCTGCTCTCATTGCCTCTGCACAGTGAGGATGGAGCTATCCCATTTTGTGTGTGTGTGTGTGTGAGACTCATTTGCACTGGATCAGCTCAAGGCTCAGCAAGGCCAAAAGAGGCAGAGGAGGACAAGGACTGATAGAAGACAGACAGTCTCTAACTCTCCCAGGAGCAGAAGACTAAAAAATATGCTCCTCTCCCCCTTATGCTGATTCTATAGTTACAAAAGGGTTTGACATGGTGCAGCTGTCGGAGTCTTTGCACCCAGCCCTAAGCCAGGCTACTCCTTCCCGGGTTAGTCTCCCTCCCCCCATTTGTCCAGGGAATGCAAAAATGTTAATACTTCACTTCCCACTTTGCCATTTCCAACATCTGGACTTGTGTTCCATTTAGGAGGATGGTGAGTTCTTGAAATAAAACAGTAACTCGGCAGGCATCCAGAGAAAAGACTAGACCAATCCCTTGGATTTGGGTGAATGAGAATATTGAAAAGACTGGTTGGTTTGGCATGCAAGTTAAGTTCCTTGTTCAGCTGGTGGCTCATTCATTCATTCATTCATTCATTCATTATTTCATTCAGAATTTCTTCATGTTCCGAGAGTTTAGAGGTCTCCTTATCCTCAAGGCTTGGCTAAGACAATAAAGGATGGTACCATCTACAAATACGTGAAAATAATTAAGGTCGGGAAGAAAGGCGGGAATACATTTAAGATCTGTTTTTAAAGGTCATAAGTAATGAGATACCATTAAGAAAGGAAATTTGCCGAAACCGGTTTGGCTCAGTGGACAGAGCGTCGGCCTGCGGACTGAAAGGTCCCAGGTTCGATTCCGGTCAAGGGCATGTACCTGGGTTGCGGGCACATCCCCAGTGGGAGATGTGCAGGAGGCAGCTGGTCGATGTTTCTCTCTCATCGATGTTTCTAACTCTCTATCTCTCTCCCTTCCTCTCTGTAAAAAATCAATAAAATATATTTAAAAAAATAAAAAAAAAAGAAAGGAAATTTAAGAGAAAGTTGGGGAAATTGTGAGAAGGGGGAAAATTAAGGACAGCTGAGAAAGAAAGTCCGGAGCAGTTCCCTGTGTTCAGAAGGCTTTCTGTGGGCTCCTATGTTAGATGGCCTACTTCTTTCTCCTGAAACCAGTGAATAGTAGTGCGCTTCCTCCTCTAAGAAAGGGGCCCCCAAAGGGCACCGCCCCACACCCCCCGCCTAAGAGGAGGGCCTTGGGCATGCCAAATCGGAACAAAGGCCCAGATCCTGAGCTTCTTTCTGTTCCTTTCACAATGGGCAAGGGGAGGTGGGGGCGGGGTGTGCTGGTTGGGAAGACTCCCTCTGAGCCCATGGCCTGGTTTCCTGCTGAGTTCACTGTTGACCTGGCCCTCCTGCCCTCTCCCCAGTTCCCCCAGCTCTGGTTTCACTCCCCTGCCTGACACCAGCATCCTAGGAAGAATCATTGGGGCATAAAGAGTCTCCCATCACCCCTCTCACCCTTTGTTTTGTGAAAGGAGCCTGGGGCCATGTGAAGGGAATGACACTTCCAACAGGGGAAGTTCTATGCAAATAAACAAAGAAGGAGCCAGAGCCAGAGCCAGAGCCAGGCCAGGAGGAAAGTCCCCTGAGCCTCTAAGGCAGCGGTTCTCAACCTGTGGGTCGAGACCCCTTTGGGGGTCGAATGACCCTTTTACAGGGGTCGCCTAAGACCATCGGAAAACACATTTATAATTACATATTGTTTTTGTGATTAATCACTATGCTTTAATTATGTTCAATTTGTAACAATGAAAATACATCCTGCATATCAGATATTTACATTACCATTCATAACAGTAGCAACATTACAGTGATGAAGTAGCAACGAAAATAATTTTATGGTTGGGGGTCACCACAACATGAGGAACTGTATTAAAGGGTCACGGCATTAGGAAGGTTGAGAACCACTGCTCTAAAGGGACAGGGCACTGAAGATCCTTGGGTTAGGGGGGAGGGGTGGGACCAAAAGTTGTTGTGACTGGAGGGGAATGAGTCAAGGAAAGAAATTCCCTAATTTAATCCTTAAGGATGAAGGAGCCAGTGGGCCTGCCAGACCACAAAATAACATCCCGACCAAGTAACCTACTTTAAGCTGCTGAGAGCAAGAGCATGGAGAGGCACATGAAAGCTGGGAATTTGGGGTCCAGGAAGATCTGAGCTTCATGACTAAAACCAGATGCCTCTGCTCCTTTCTACAAATCTGTCAGGCCTGTCTGTAAAGAAAGAGACCGACATCCTGATGGAGCGGTGGGGAGGGGGAGGCCTGGCCAGAGGAGCCTTCTCTTTGTTGGACAAAGAGGCATGGAAGTCATGAGTGGAAGAGCTGAGGCAGTCTGAGGTAGGCTGGCTCTGTGCCAGCAATAAACCCCTATGGTTTCCTCTAAAAAGTCAGGGAGAGGACATTACTGTGGCTCTGTCTAGTCAACCCCAGGGCAGGAATTCACTTCAAGGAAAACCACGCCAGCTCACCGCGGTCCTGGGCTGCCAAGAAGTGCCAGAGATGGTCTCACCCTTCAGCCCACAGAAATCTCTGGACAAAATCCTCTTCCAGCAATCCGTGTCCATCCATGGATGAATGGATAAGCAAACTGCGGTCTATGTAGACAAATATTATTCAGCCTAAAAAGGAAGGAATTTCTGACACATGCTTTGACATGGATGAACCTTGAGAACATTATGCCAAGTGAAATAAGCCAAGCACCAAAGGACAAATGTTGTATGATTCTACTTATATAGGTACCCAGTGCAAAGTCATAGAATGGTGGTTGCTAGGGGAATGGGGAGTTATTGTTTAAATGGGTACAGCGTTTGTTTGGAAAGATGAAGGTCTGCAAACAGACGGCTGTGATGACTGCACAACAGTATGAATGTGCTTACTGCCATCAAACTGCACTAAATAATAGTTAAGACGGTAGGTTTGGTGTCTTGTGTATTTTACCACTATATGTAAAACACACACACACACACACACACACACAAACACACACACATCTTCCAGACACTTGTCAGGGCGTGTCCTGCGGAGGAAACTGATCCTGGGGCGCCCGGCCATGATGAAGTTGCAGGTTCTTGACCTTTGTTGGACTCCTTGACCTCTCACATCACATGATTAAGCTTTACCCCCATTCTTCCAGAATCTAAGGGACACTGACGAAATGATGACTACAATGAAGAGAGAGCTGTTGTGTGTACTGCTGCTTTGTGGAGCAGTCTTCACTCTGCCCAGGCAGGTGGGTGTGCAGTTCACGTCTGTGTGTCTCATTCCTTAGGGCTGTGGTCCCTCCAGGGGCTCCTCAGTGGAGAGGCAAAGGGCCAGAGGGCCAGAGGAGCTGCGAATACACGGCAGCAGGCCCTAGGGGGCAGCAGGCCCTAGGCGGCAGCAGGCCCTAGGCACTTATTGTGACTTGAGGGAACAGTTTTCAATTCTACTCCACTACCTCCGAACACCTTCTTTGGAGCTATTTTTTAAAATGTGTTAGAATTAATCCATAAAATACTTTCAAAACAATGCAAGTGCTGCAAGCCATAGAAGCAGGCATGCTGCCCTCCTGCTGCTTATTGTTTCATTGGGATGGAAATGTACAATACACATGCTCTCTGAAAATGTCCAGCTGCAAAGGACGTCATAGAAGGCCAACTGAGCAATACCTGAGCAGCAGGCCTGTACAAGAGAGTCAGAGATGGCTACATAAAGAGATGGGGACTACAGCTCCACTGCTCAATATGGTAGCCACTAACTTCTTGTGACTATTTAAATTTAAACTTAAATAAAATATAAGGTTCAGTTTAATCACACTAGCCATATTTCAAGTGCTCAGTTGCCACATGGATTCGTGGCTCTATATTGGACAGCACAGGTATTAAACATTTCCATCATTCAGAAAGTTCTTTTGGACAGCGCTAGTCTAAAAGGGGAGGAAGAATTAGACAAGAAGGCAGGAAATGGACTTTCTCCATGGGGCCAGGTAACCCGAGGGGGAATCTCTGGGCAGGTGGCATCTGATTGGCAGGTTGATGGGTGGTCTTCTGGATTGGCTACCTTTATTCTTAAGACACCCAGCATGTACTGATCCTTTCTCCACCCCTGGTTTCTTTGTAGGAAATCCACAGGCGATTCAGAAGAGGAGCCAGGTCATACAGAGGTGAGATGAAGCTGAGGCGGAAAGGGGTAGATGAAGGTAGGAGGCAGGGTTAGGGCTCAGGGGGATTCAGGCTCTGTCAGGCTTCTATCCCCCACCTTATTACTTGACTATGTGTGAAGGTGAAATGGTACAGGGCAATTCTGCAAAGATTCCTGTGTGGTTCCCCCCATCACTCACTCACATGCACCCAGGTAGCTGAGGTGAGTGAGCCAGGATCTGAGAAGACAGGGTGTGTCCTCAAGGAGCCAGGCTGTCAGTCAGGGAGTCACAAAGCTGGGGGGAGCCTGCGACTCAATGGCCCTGAGTCCTTCAAAAATACTAATGGAAGTAGCACGTTTTCTACACAGATCAAAACACCAATTTTCTTTGTTTGGGGCCTGAAATGCATCATTTCAGTGTGGTAATACTCCTGTGGATCAAAAACTCTGGTAGGCAGTTATATACATGTTTATAGTTTTGATGAATTAAAATGAAAAAAAATAGAGTATTACCTAATACATGTATTTTAATAGATGAGAGTCCATCAGAGAAAAAAAAACAATAAAAGGAGTCTTTGGAGAAAAAATATTAGGTACTTGTTGTCTTCCAGTGGAGAGCAAGAAAGGAATAAAGGATGGATTATCTAGAGAGTGAGGGAGGAATGTTCTCAGTAAGACTGGAGGTGGACCATCAGTTTTGGTGAGTTGTGCCCTAAGAGGCCAGCCTGTCTTTCGTTACAGTGACCTGCAGAGATGAAAAAACCCAGATGACATATCGGCAGCATGAGTCGTGGCTGCGCCCCCTGCTCAGAAGCAACCGCGTAGAATACTGCTGGTGCAACAGCGGCCGGTCGCAGTGCCACTCTGTGCCCGTCAGAAGTACGTAGGGACTTCAAGCCCAGGCTTCGAGCGTCAGCATCCAGGCTCATGGCCCAAACCCTGTCTTGATTGGTCCCCGACACGTTGAAATCTTTAAACAGAGATTCTGGGCATGATCCGCCTTAGGCAAATGTGAAGGCGCTGAGCAAAAAGGAGCAAATGCCTTCACTTGCCGAGCTTCAGGTTCTTTTTCTGTAACACGGGGGGAACGATAGTACGTACCTCATGGTTTGCTGTGAGAATGAAACGAGTTAATGTTGTAAACTGCTTAGAATAGTGCCTGACATGTAGACAGCACCCTTAATATTTTAACTCACGTTGTTCTCGGAGCTACTTGGCAAGTAATTCGGGGTTTCTTGTTTCTGCCTGACAGGTTGCACGGAGCCGAGATGCTTCAATGGGGGGACGTGTCGGCAGGCTCTCTATTTCTCAGATTTTGTCTGTCAGTGCCCTGAAGGATTTAGTGGGAAACTCTGTGAAATAGGTGAGTAGTGGGTGGGTGGGTGTGAGAGAGGGACTGAAATCCCAATTGCCAAATCTACCCGGAAAGGAAATCTACCCTGGTGACAGAGGCAAGGCGGGGAGAGGGGACAGGAAGGGTCATCCAAGGGTCGGTTAGGAAACCGAAGTGCCGGGCCCACTTTGGAGTCTGGCTCTGCCACCCGTCAGCTGGGTGAGCCTAGACACCCACTCCGCCCCTGCGCTCCAGGAGCGTCCGCAGCCAGCCTGCCTCACTGGTTTGGGGTGATGGCAGCCGCCGATGTGAGACCCCTTTGAGAAACTCAATGAAAGGGGGTCCGCGTGTGAGATGTTGTGTTTCCTGCTTTCCCTCAGATGCCAGTGCTACCTGCTACAAGGACCTAGGTGTCACCTACAGGGGCACGTGGAGCACCGCGGAGAGCGGGGCCGAGTGTGTCAACTGGAACAGCAGCCTTCTGGCCCGGAAGATCTACAACGGACGGAGGCCAGATGCCAACAAGCTGGGTCTCGGGAATCACAATTACTGCAGGTGAGAGGGCCGTCTTCCCTACGGAGTAGTTTTTCTCTGGTGAGAAGCTGCTCCATTGGGGATATATAGAGAGAGACAGAATTTCTTTTCAACTTTTGCTCTTAAGGCCCTCAACTCATTAGGTGAGGCCCACCCACGTTATCAAAAATAATCTTCTTAAAGCCAACTGATTGTAGATATTAACCACAGCTATAAAATCCCTTCCCAACAACACCAGCCACACTAACACAAAAAACTCACCGTCACAGTCCACCCCTTATCAACTTGGCACACGCACACATCTCCTTAAACCACACTTAATCTCCAAACGAAGACAGTAACTAAGTCACAGTCCCACCTGACATGATACAGCTGTCCTGTGCACAACCCAAAGCCCGTTAACTCTTTCCCCAGAAGAGGATGCAAAGTCCTTGGGCTGAGAGGGAAGTTCTGCTTTTAATGCCCCCTGGCTTTCTCTGGCTGATTTTTCAGAAACCCAGACAAAGACTCAAAACCTTGGTGCTATATCTTCAAGGCAGGGAAGTACGTCCCGGAGTTCTGCAGCACACCCGTCTGCTCCCAGGGTAAGTGCAGCCACCCCACCTTCCCTGGGGGGGCCTGGGGAAGAGAGTCTAGGAGGACAGGTTGACGGTCCTTCTACAACCGGAGACGAAGGAGCAGGCTGCGAGTTCACCGTTTGGGCTGCAGCGGGAAGGAAGTCATGAGACTTAGGTCCTCACCCAAGCTTGGCCTCTAGCTCTTGTTGAGCTTGAGCTGATTTCTTAACACCTCTGACCCTCAGTTTCCTCATGGACAGAGAAGGTGGCGCTGCATCAGTGGTTGCCAGTCCTTTTGAGAATGAATGGGGATTCTCCCTTTTTTGATTGCTGGGCCTATTGCTCAATCTCTCTCTCTCTCCATATATATATACTTCCATAAAAGTATATATATATACTTTTTTTTAATGTGACAAAATTTCCCAAATTTAAAAAATACTAAGTTACAAAAGGTAATATGAATTCAGCGGTGCTTTCACAAATAACTGTTACTTATCACAATAGCATGAAAAACACGTTTTGAAGTTCTAAATATACGATACAAAATAACGTGTATTCAGTCTCCAACGAATGCTGACACACTTGTGAATTTGAGGGCTCTTTACAGCAGTGGTTCTCAACTTTCCTAATGCCATGACCCTTTAGTACAGTTTCTCATGTTGTGGTGACCCCCAACCATAAAATTATTTTCATTGCTACTTCATAACTGTAATTTTGCTACTGTTATGAATCGTAATGTAAATACCTGATATGCAGGATGGCCTTAGGCGACCCCTGTGAAAGGGTCGTTCGACCCCCAAAGGGGTCGCGACCCACAGGTTGAGAACCGCTGCGTTACAGTAATGCTAAAGCATTTGCCCCATCTCCCAGGATCTGGTCTAAATTGGGACTCCCTGATCTAGATGACCTGAGAGAGCCCTTCCAGTTATACTATTTATTATACTGGTATATTTTGTGAGTTTCAAATGGGGAGAAAAGAGGGTCAAGTGGGACAAGTAGGTGAAAATAGGCAGCACTCTCTTTCCTTCCCAAGCCCAGCAAATCCTCCAGAGCACGTGCAGGCAAAATCTGAGAACCAGGGCCTGCTGACATGTCCCTCTATTGAAGTACCTTAGTTCACTGTCAAATATAAACAAGGAAACCCATAATTGCTTTCAAAGCAGCTCCAGAAATAATCACCACTAATTAAACTCAGCACCCTTTCCTGCTGGACCTGAATATACCCTCAGAAGCTCTTTCAACACAGCAATCTAGGAAGCCATCTCCAGTTGATGGACGTTGGCACACCAGCAGCAAGCTGTTTGCCATCTCTGTGTGAAAGGGCTTGAAGAAGCCCTGGAGGGTGTGGCTCAGTTAGTAGGAGCATTGTCCCGAAAGGTCATGGGTTCGATTCCTGGTCAGGACACATACCTAGGTGGCAGGTTCGATCCCCATCCCCAGTCAGGGTACATGTGGGAGGTAACAGATGTTCTCTGTCACATCAATGTTTCTCTCTCTCTCTCTCTCTCTCTTCTTTCCCTGCTCTCTAAAAATCAATGAAAATATCCTTGGGAGAGGATGAAAGAAAAGGGCTTGAAGAAAAGAAAAAGGGGAGGTGGGATGCTATCACACCCTTCTCACTGGCAGGCTGGCTGCCTTCGATTCTCCAGGCCAGCGGCTACATTGCAGGCCCTGTCGCAAACTCCAACTTGCCCGTTTTAGCAGTTAATTGGTTTTGTTTCAGTCTGAGATTTCTTCTGTTTCAGAAAAAAGTGGGAACTGCTACTTTGGAAAAGGACTAGCATACCGTGGTACGCACAGCCTCACCGTGTCTGGTGCTTCCTGCCTCCCGTGGAATGCCATGGTCCTGGTAGGCAAGATTAACACAGCGTGGAAGACCAACGCCCAGGCACTGGGCCTGGGCAAACACAATTACTGCCGGTATGTAGCACAAGTCCGAGGGGCTCAGGTCTGGGCAAAGGACAAGATTGGGGCTGTGGGATGGGAGAAGAGTTGATGCTTAAAGTTATATGAAAGACCCAGTGAGTGGGAAGAAACCATGGCTATTATCTAGTCCAACCTATTCATTTGCTAGAATAACACCTATTATGAAAAGCAAAGTCCACTGGTTTTTCAACCCAAATCCCAAGTTCAAGGTCCTTTCCCATCGCCATTTAGTCCTCAGCTGGTCCGCTCACACATGGCACTGTTATTCCAACGAATTGAAAGAGTTTCTTCACGGCAAAGCCCCCAGTCCAGGGGTGGGCAAACTTTTTGACTCGAGGGCCACAATGGGTTCTTAAATTGGACCGGAGGGCCGGAACAAAAGCATGGATGGAGTGTTTGTGTGAACTAATATAAATTCAAAGTAAACATCATTACATAAAAGGGTACGGTCTTTTTTTTTTTTAGTTTTATTCATTTCAAACGGGCCGGATCCGGCCCGCGGGCCGTAGTTTGCCCACGGCTGCCCCAGTCCCTCCCAACAACCCAGGGAGATGAGCATGTCATGTCGCTGACGTGAATGTTGTTTTCCTATGGTGGGGTCTGTGACAGAGCCGAGTCCAGAACTCAGGATCCTTCCCAGCTCAGTGTTTTTGCCATTGGTTCACGGAGCCCCCTTCCCCTCTTCCATGGCTTGAGATGTGATTGAAAAGGTGATCTAAAACCTTAAACTCCCTTTATCCTCTAGGAATCCAGACGGGGATGCCAAGCCTTGGTGCCACGTGCTGAAGGACCGAAAGCTGACGTGGGAGTACTGTGACATCCCCCAGTGCTGTAAGGGCGGCCCTTGGCCACCTCCCTTTGCCCAGCCCCACTGCCCTGGCCCTCTTGACCGTTTCCTCTGCCCTTTCCTGTGTCTTCACATCTGTCTGGTTCAGACTGTGAGGCTGTCAGATTCTCAGGAAGGTCAGGCCTTGCTGGGGAAGGATCTTCCATGACTAAAGCAAGGGTGGGGGTTAACACTCTTGGGTAGATATCCGCTTCCCATGCCCAGGAAATTGTCTGAGAATAGATTATTATTACTCAGTTCCTGTGAACACAGATTAGCTACAATGTTCCTCAAGAAACATAGAGTCTAACTGGGCAGGTAAGACACAAATGATCAGTTAACTCACAAGCAAGGTTGTGTGGAGTGAGTCCCCCGTGAGTGGTGTCAGTAAGCTTTCTTGGAACCTGGTGGGCTTGGGGGTCTTAAATCAGCTTCGTGCAGATGTAGGATTTTACCTGGGCCTTGAAGGTTGGGTAAGGCTGAGTAGATGGGAAAGATATGGGGCAAACATTCCCTAGGAGGAAGTTGCAATGCTTCGTTATTTCTTAAACCAGGAAGTGGCTGCAGAAAGAAAACTAGAGGCAACGAAGCATAGCAGAAAGATCCCCAGTTATGGGTTTCGACAGATCTGGGTTCTAATCCAGATGCCATTGTGACCTTGGGCTAAAATTTTTCAGCCTCTGGAGTTCAGTGTTGTGAGGGTCACAGATGGTGTATGTACAGTGTTGGCATGTACCATGTACTCAACAAATGAAAGCTGTGGTTTTTATCACCAGGGGGACTTATACTCCTCTGTGCCAACCTGTAGAGCCAGTAGAAACTCAGGGGTCCCAAGGGAAGAAATCAAGATGGGTGCTCAGGACTTCACCTCAGGACCACAGACCTCATCCCCCTTCTCTGTCCTCTTCTCACCCAGCCACCTGTGGCCTGCGACAGTACAAGCGGCCTCAGTTTCGCATTAAAGGAGGACTCTTCTCGGACATCACCTCCCACCCGTGGCAGGCTGCCATCTTTGTCCAGAACAGGAGGTCGCCCGGAGAGAGGTTCTTGTGCGGGGGGATCCTGATTGGCTCCTGCTGGGTCCTGTCCGCTGCCCACTGCTTCCAGGAGAGGTAGGGACTCAGAGGCCCAGCAGCTTTTCCTGCTCTCCTTAGAGGAGACCTCCCAACAGGAAGAAGGTCCTAAGGCTGTTTCTCCGTTAGGTTTCCTCCCCACCACCTTAAGGTGGTCTTGGGCAGAACATACCGGCTGGAACCTGGAGTGGAAGAGCAGAAATTTGAAGTCAAAAAATACATCGCTCATAAGGAATTCGATGAAGACACTTACAACAATGACATTGGTAAGATGTCATTATTCTCCCTGCTCCAGTTCAGAACTCCAGACCGCCACACACACACACACACACACGTGCACACAGGTGCACTCGCACCCCTCCTTCCAAACCCTCGCCCTCTCCCTCACCTTCCTCCCCTAAAATCAGAAGCAGCTCTGCACACAGCGTTTTCTCTCCCTCGCTCTCCCTCCCAGCACTGCTGCAGCTGAAATCGGATTCGCTCCAGTGCGCCCAGGAGACTGGCTCTGTCCGCACCGTCTGTCTCCCGGAAGCCGACCTGCAGCTGCCTGACTGGACGGAGTGTGAGCTTTCTGGCTACGGCAAGCACGAGGCGTGTAAGTGGAAGGAAGTCACGGCCCATCCTGCCTGTCTGCAGGACAGCAGGGGCTGCAGTCATTGATCAGACAGAGGAGAAAGTGGTCACGAGAGTGGTTCCCACCCCGGGCAGGCACTGATGCTGTGTCAGTGTGGGCAAGTCCCCTGAGGTGAAGTCCTGAGCACCCATCGTGGGCCTTCCCTACCTCACAGGGTTACTGAATAGGTCCAAATAGTACCAGTGCTTTGAAGAGCTTCAGATTTCAAGAAGGTTCTCACAAGAGTGCAGACAGTAATTAAGGGTATGGATCTTGGACTACAGTCCATAGACCTGAGCTCAAATCCTCACTCTGCTCCTCGCTAGCAGTGTGACTCTTGCTTGGATCCATATGTTACAGCGCTCCAAGCCTCAGTTTCCTCGTTGGTGAGATGGGGACAGAACTAGCTACCTCCTTGGTTACGATGATCAAATGAGATATTAGGTTAAACCAGTGGTTCTCGCCTGGGGTGATGTTGTCCCCCAGGAGGCATTTGGCAATGTCTGATGGCATTTTCGATTATTACAATTCAGGATGGAGGTGTATCCTGGGGGGCGGAGGGGGGAGCCAGGGATGCTACCAAACATCTCCATGCACATGACAGTCCCTCACAAAAATGATCTTCAGGTCTATATGGCCATAGTTCTGCTATTGGGAAACCCTGGATAAAACTCTATAAAATCGTTGTTTTTATAGGGCAAAACAGTAACATATTGGCTGTGTCCCAGGACTCAACCTAATATGTGTAAAATCTTGATGTATCTTAGCAATTATTAGAAGAGTTGGCTTTCTCCTTCCAAAAGATTGACAACATTCCCTAAAATCATAAGATGCTTTCCCTCCTCTCTTTTCAGCTTCTCCTTTCTACTCTGAGCGGCTGAAGGAAGGGCATGTCAGGCTGTATCCCTCCGACCGCTGCACGTCTCAGTATTTATCTAACAAAACCGTCACGAGCAACATGCTGTGTGCTGGAGACACGCGCAGTGGAGGGAACCAAGCAAACCTGCACGATGCCTGCCAGGTAAACATGAGCGCCTCTCCATACTCCGAGCCCACCCCAGGGTAAAAGTGTCCCTTGGCCATCAGGTTCTTAACCATGGAACACCCTCCAGCCAGCAGGGAGTGATTTCATCTCAGTGAGGCGCTGGGGATTCTGCATGAGGGCCTCTGAGAGTGAAGCAACCGGAGAAAGATCAAAGTTACCCAAACATAAGAAATCTGAGCTATAGGAAATTTCCCCGGCGTCTGCACAGGAAACTCCACCTAGTACAGGATTTCCTGTAAACCCCAAGCAATTAATTGGCCATTGGAGTGATGGATAAAGCAAAACAAATTAAGAAATGCTTGACGTACGTAGGTGCTGGAGGATCGTAGTCTGCTTTGTAGCAGGGGAAGGAAGAACGGCAACTCACTGGGAAGTAGGATAGAGATGATTTGTGAGAAACAAGGTTTAAAAACTCAGTCCAATAACCTGGGAAAGGAAACCATGTCAGGCTCTCTGTGTTGGCATCCTTATTGGGGTCAGTACTTCTGTTTTACGATAACAAGACACTGGCCCATGGGACACAGACCAGCCTGTGTATTAGGACCCAAATAGAGCCAAGGATCTGTTATTGATGAGACATGTTCATGCCTGCAGTGTGTCAGGCTGACCACTGAGAGGAGGGGTGCGAGGGGTGCCAAGAGAAGGAAGGCCAGGCTCTTGCCTGGGAGACTTGGTGGACTCTTTGTGAACCCCTTGTTCCTTGACAGCCTTTGGTCTCTTTTTGAAGAGTTTCTTCAGAACTCTTCATTGTACCACCTCGCTCAACACTCACATAAAGGTTGTCTGCAAAGTGAAACCATGATTATTTGCAAGCTTCAAGTTCAAAACCAAAAATCATTTTGATTCAGCAAGACAACAGCAGCAAACAGTTACCAAGAGTTTTATTGAATCTCATACATTGTTCTCAAGAGCTTTTCAAGCTTTCTTCCAATCAATTCCCAGAACAATCTCACCAAGTAGGTAGTATTATCTCTCTTATACTGATAAGAGAGGTACTTCAGACGCACAGTTAGCCCAAGGCCACACAACTGGGTGGAGTTAAAACCTGGGCTGAGGCCTGAAATGTCTGAGCAATTATCTCAGAAATTTACTTTACAATATAGATACAGTCTAATCCTCTTAGAGGACCAAGATCATGGAGATAAAAGTTTTCCTCTGTGAACTAAGTACTATGAAGAGTACAATCGTAACACTACAAATATTAACCCTAACTCCCACCTAAAGCAGTTTTTGCAAACAACTAACCTGTTCTCCTTTGCAGGGCGACTCAGGAGGGCCCTTGGTGTGTATGAAGGACAACCACATGACTTTGGTTGGCATCATCAGTTGGGGTCTTGGCTGTGGGCAGAAAGATGTTCCAGGTGTATACACCAAGGTTACTAATTACCTAAACTGGATTCAAGACAACATGCGCCCATAACCAAGAACACCCAGTTCCCTGGCATCATGGCAGACCTCACCTTCCTCCACTTCAGAAGACACACCAAGACGGCGCTTCTTCACACGGATTTCCCCTTGAGCCATCACACCGTACCAGTGGGGGGAGAACCAGTAGAAGAGGGGAGAGGATATATTTTCATAGGTACTTCCCTCTTTGGAAGTTTTCCGGGATTAAGGTCTGATATCAGACTGTATTCTGTGAGATGGAAAGACAGATAAATGCCAACCCCTCCCAGAACACTACCATCCAGGGCAAATAGGTAGAACAAAAGCCTAACCACCTAATCTATCCATGGGAACAGCTTTGGAAGTGGGACCACAGAGAAAAAGGCATGTCTCTGTAATAAAAAAACAGCTAGATCCTTCAGGAAAGAAGTATTGCATTAGAAACAGAATGTCTATCTATAGTCACAAGGAAGCCGAGCAGAGGCCTGGGCCTCCTAAGGCCAGATCATGTTCTTCAAACCATCCTTTAAATCAAGTATTTGGCTACCCCCTTTCTCCACTCTATAGCTCTTGGAGGAAATTCCTTTTGTGTACAGTGTAAATGTTTTTTTTCTTTATAATAGAAGGATTGTACCATTTTAATAACTGATCATCTAGGCGATAGCATATTTATGTCAGTTCATCGTAGTGTTTACTTTCTGTTGCCACAATTTTGTATTATACTGTACTAAAATAATAAATTCAAATTTATTTTTCACATATTTTCCCGGAGTGGAATAGTTGTTATATATGCAGTATCACACAGGTGATTTGTTCATGTTCACTTTTTTAAATCATGTGCAATGTTTTCTTTCATTCATTCAACAAATACAGAATACTTGCTGTACACAAGGCAATGTGCTAGGAGCTGTCGATAGTAAAAAGGGGACAAATAAACTATTTAGAGAAATAACAAGGTAGAACAGAGATGGACCACAAAACGGCAGAAAGAAACTTTTCCTGGAATTCAGTTGCAGGAGGGATTGGGGAATCTTAAAGAAAAAAATAGAATTAGGTGGGCTTTCAAAAATTGGGCAAGATTTGGACTGGTAGAGGGGTGTGGGAAAGGCATTCTGAGCCAAGGAATATCAGTGCATGAAGTAGTAAAGATCTAGCAAAAAGGCAGTGGGAGCATGGGGAGGAATTGAGTTCAACAGTTGGAAGTGAAGTTCATAAAGAATGTAGGTTGGGATTTAGATTATGGGGACTTTGAATGCCAAAGTGAGCCTGGACTTAATTTTGTAGGCAACAGGGAGCCACTGAGGCCTTAGCTCAAGGGAAGTGATGAACTAAGCATGCCTCAGGAATATTAAGTAAGTGTGGTTGGGGAGACAGCAGACGCGGGAGGCAAGGAGGCTCCCTGGACAGCAATCACAGAACTAGAAAGGAGCAATGAAGGAATAATAAGAACCTAAGCATGACCTGCTAACTAACATGCGGCGTCCCAACTGTTGGCTCAGACTAGAACAGTGATGGCGAACCTATGACACGCATGTCAGAGGTGACACGCAAACTCATTTTTTGGGTAGATTTTTCTTTGTTAAATGGCATTTAAATATATAAAATAAATATCAAAAATATGTCTTTGTTTTACTATGGTTGCAAATATCAAAAAATTTCTATATGTGACACAGCACCAGAGTTAAGTTAGGGTTTTTCAAAATGCTGACACGCCGAGCTCAAAAGGTTTGCCATCACTGGACTAGAAGCTAATATTTGGGCCATTTTCCCCCCATTCTACTTGGCTTTCCTGTTCATCAGAAAGAATTAACTCCCAGACCAGTCCACACAGGTTATGCTTACGGAATGCTGCTTTCTGCTTCTCTTAGACTCCTTATATAACCCTACACCTGGCTGCTGCCCAGCAGGCATCACTGACGCCCCAGATCCAAGAATAAATCTGCTGATGCAATGCTTCCTGCTGCGTATATGCTGGCAGCTTCTTGGAGGCAAAAAAGGTGGTTGTAGTTGTCTCTCACGATGTTGTAAGATTGCTCAGTTTGGGGTTCTCAGAAGAAAAGTAGTTTTAACTCATGGAAGAAAGATACTCTGTAAGGCACAAGAGCTGGATTCAGGGCTGGGGGTGGGGGGTGGGGAGCGCGGGGGTGCAGAATCCAACTTCCCTGAAATGCTGAAGTCCCTGGATCAGTTAAGTAATTGCAGGCCACAGACACTTTCGTCACAGATTTCTTGACTTCGGACTGCTCGCTTACAAGTTTCCCTGTGCAAGTGGCAGATTTTATTTTAGATAAATGTCTTTCAGCCATCTCAGAAAAACATGGCTAGAGGACACCAATACACAAGACTCCCAGTGCTGAATCTCCCGCAGGAATTCAGCTGGTTTCACCCTCTGCCCCTTGCATGAGCAGCTTTTCCTCAGATGGTGGAGTTAATGAAGTGAACTGAAGCAGTCAGGCCTCCTGGGATGGAAATGTAGTTAAAAGGCCCCGGCATTCCTCTGACTGAGGTCCCGGAAACCGCAGGCTGGAGGAAGACAATTGCTCAGAGAAGGCCACTGACTGAGCTCCATGGCAGAATTTTACTAAAATACACTCAAAGAGCAACACATCATTAGCCAGTGTGGGTTAGGAAATTTGGGATAAAATGTGTGGAACTTGTCAGGGGAAGGAAATGAGCATAACGGGAAATTAAATCGTATATTCACCTCACTATCCCCAGCCAGATAATAAAACAAATAGATGCCAATAGACCAGAAGAACAAGAAAGATTCTCAGGTAATTGTGCAATTAGCCTTAATGGGTGAAGACTAGAGGAAATCAGGTGGTTGAAACTGTTTTTCTCCTCGAGCCCCAATCTTAAATATGGTTATCAAAAAGTGTCATAAACTTTGGTTCCATGTTTAACTTCGAAAGCCAAAGACTCACACAATCCCCAGTACTTGGGTTCTTGGGGACAGTTTAAGAGTTTCATATTCAATTCACCTTTTAAAATTCAAACAAAAATTTCATCTCATTGCTGGCCCGGAGTCACCACCTACTGGCCAGATAGGGAAGTGCATGTATAAAATGTACCTGGTCACACTCCAATGCAAGGAAAAGAGCCAGGCCAAGGGCAAAGATATTAACAATGACTAAGATAGCTAGATCGGAATAGTAATAGATATTAAACACTTGTGGTAAGTCAACAGAAATAAGTCTTAAAATTTCTTCATGGCCATGAGGGATTTACAGAATGAAACTAACATATCTTTATTGATTTCAGAGAGGAAGGGAGAGGGAGAGATAGAAACATCAATGATGAATGATGAGAGAGAATCATTGATGGCTGCCTCCTGCACGTCCCCTACTGGGGATCAAGCCCGCAACCCAGCCATGTGCTTTTGACCAGAATCGAACCCGGGACCCTTCAGTCCGCAGGCTGATGCTCTATCCACTGAGCCAAACCAGCTAGGGCTACAGAACAAAATTAATACAGATATGGGATAGTCACCAGTGTCTACTTTACCAAAACTCCTAATGTCTTCTCTTCCAAGAAATCTCTACTACAGTTAAGATTTCTGAGAACCTTGAAGCCCTGTTTCATGTCTGAGTTAATCAGCAAACATGATCAAGAACATGGGGAGAGAACTAGAGCAGACATCAGCAGCCTTAATGGTTTTGTCTCTTACACACGGGGGTTGGGAGGAAATAATTTGATTGATCTAGACCTTCATTCTCACAACCTTAAAAATGACATTAAGCCCTGGCTGGTGTGGCTCAGTTGGTTGAGCGTCATCCCAAGCCCCAGAAGGTTGCTGGTTCCATTCCCAGTGAGGGAACATGCCCAGGCTGTGGACTCGATCTCCACAGGTGATCTCCACAGGGTGAGGGGAGTGCAGAAGGCAGCCGATCCATCTCACATCAATGTTTCTCCCTCTCCCTCTCCCTCTCCCTTCCTCTCTCTCTAAAAATCAATAAAATATCTTTTTTTTAAAAAATGACTTAAATACCAATATCCCTGTCTTCCAGAGATGACTAGAGAATCAAACCATACCTATGGCTTTAGGTCTGTTGGCTGAAAGTACAATAGTAAGATCCTCCTGAATTATTTCTTATTGCTTCTACTGAGGCATAGCATCGTCGTTAGTCCTAACAACAAAACACTCAGGACACGGAGGATGGTAAAACTCCACTTTATTAAGACAAACAGAGAAGACAGTTCTGCACATGTTAAACACAGCATGGTCAAGCCACCCTGCGTTACTTATGCTAACACACTGCCAGGCGATAGCAGCGCCACCCCGCTGTGCTCCAGGGCTCTGCTACAGGTGGTGTGAGAGTCACTTCATGTGCTAAGGCCTGAAGCTCCCATCCCCTAGATACTTTATTCCCCCTTAACATCCTCCCTTGGGATTAGGATGAGCTACCCTGGAGGAAATAGAACAGCTGGACTTATAACACTGAAAATATTCAGGGACCAAGATTGGTTGTTTTCTGTAAAACGTTAACATCCTCCAGAGGCCTCAGGAGAAGTAATTTCACGTATTCTACCAACCACATGGTAGGTGTGTATATGGGACATAGCACTCAGAAAATTCTGGAGTGGTGGGATCTGAAACACATCGTATAGTACACAATTTATCCCAGAGAAAAACCACAAAGCAACATTGCTCTGCAGCAAAAACAAGTCCAGCAGGTAGGAAGGTAAAACTAGAAAAAGAATCACTTAAGTATTTTGGAAATAGGGCTTTAGAGAAAGACTATAAGGTTTGGAGAATATGTGTCTTCATTTTTCTCCATGCATGAAGCAAAGCACAACAATATCACTACTTAAGCTATGATTTTAAAAACCTGCCTTTTATATAAATATTTAAATGGGTAACAGACACACTAAACTAGAATAAAAATTACCCGTTGGGAAAGCCTGAGGTAATCCTGCAGTTGCCATGTTTCTGAAACTGGTTTACACATAATCAACATGACCCATCTTCCTACAACATTAGTTTTATTCAAAGACTAGGGGGACTTTTTGAGGGGGGAAGGATTAAAAGAAAAATGGACTGGCGGATAGCTATCCTATATAATAAAAGGGTAATATGCAAATTGACCATAATGGCGGAATGACTGGGAAGGACTGGTTGCTCGACACAGGAGCTACCCCCTGGTGATCAGTACACTCCCACAGGGGGGAGCTCCCGCTCAGCCACAAGCTGGGGCTGAAGGCTAGGAATGCAGTGGCGGTGGCAGAAAGCCTCTCTCGCCTCCCTGGCAGCACTAAGGATGTCCGACTGCGGACATCCCCCGAGGGATCCTGGGCTGCCAGAGGGATGTCTGACTGCCAGCTTAGGCCCAATCCCCTGGGAAGCAGGCCTAAGCTGGCAGGTGGACATCCCCCAAGGGGTCCTGGACTGCGAGAGGGCGCAGGCCGGGCTGAGGGACCCTCCCGAGTGTACAACTTTTTGTGCACCGGGCCTCTAGTGTTAATAAATATATTATAGAGAACAAAATAAAAGATCGAGGAAGTAACTTTACTGAGCAGCTTCAAGGATGAATCCATCCTAATTTAAGCATTCTTTTGACTTAGGGTTACGGATAAAAAAGTTTCCAACAAGACGGCTTAGACTCCAGGACCAGTCCAGCACTGACACATGAAAAGGAATCACCTGGCAGGTATGGCCCCAGGAGGTCACAGTTAGTCAGGGCACATGTCCAGGTTATGGGCTTGATCCCCAGTAGTGGGTGTGAAGGAGGCAGTTGATCAATGATACTCTCTTATCATTGAT